TTGTTTGATCGACTTCTTTTATTAGAAAAGACTGCTTAATGAAATACAAAGTCTATTGCAAAGCTGTTTGATACACAAACTTCTTGGTTTTCGCATCAAGGGCTAAAACATAGAAATTCTTCCCAGTCCCAACTCTCGAGTATACTACGTGAAGTTGATCATGAGAAAAGAAAGGACTCTCTAGATTAATACCAGCCACCTTAAGCAATTGCTCTTCAGCGTTGTTGCTGGACATCGCGAAGGCAGCAGGTACAGATAACTGAAGACGCTTGAACTCAAACGGTATATCAGTAAGAGCCATGACTGTTCTCGGTATGAATACATGATCACTCTTTTCACAGCCTGTCAAAATTCTTTTTCTTAACGTACATTAGAGATAGAGATTAGGGAATTTTCGATTTTTACAACCGGTAGAGTTACGCCCAGTTGCCTTCCTTTCCTCGCTTGTCGCGCCAAACTCGTCTCAATTTTTCTCTAGACTAAGGAACATGCCAGAGAAAGTTTGATGGCGCTAGTTATTACCGACATCAAATGCACAAAGAAGTGAAAAACCAACGTCGTTGTTTATATAAACAGAAGAAGAAACGGGCTTCCATACCCTATACTCATATTCGGTACTTGAATCCCTTATTCGAACTCATTGCCTCAGGAAGCCCTTACCTAACTTTTCTCCTGACAACACAATTTTGATTAGCTGGCTTCAGGAAAGCTGATTTCCTATTGGTCTCCGGACAACCAATCAGATTTCAAGGCAAATGGACCCAGATTCGAACTTATCACGTCCAAAAACCCCCTACCCCACCATTTTCCCGAAAGTATAAGTGTTTTCATCTATTTTCATAAGAGCTGAATTTCTATTGGTTTCGGAACAACCAATCATATTTCGAGATAAATGGACCCCAGATTCGAACTCACCGCCCTCGAAAACCTCTAGTTTCATATTTTCTGTGTGTTCACAAAGTGGTGGTCAGTAGTAGTTCTATAGTACTGAATACTGCAATCTGATTGGTTAGCAACATAGGCAGGCTTTTTCCAGGCGAAGGATCAACTGTTTTTTAAAAAAAAGTAGACGTTGACCTTTTCCTGGATGTGAGGAAGATTCCTGGAAAGTTTGGCTGCATTTGCTCGTATGGTGTGGAAATGGATAACGAACAAACAGACAAACAG